TGCAGCTGTGATGGGTTGTGTACGAGCTAATAGGAGTCAGAATGGTATATATTTATACTTCTCATCCAACTACAGTTAAATTCACTCTGTCCAGGAGACACAATTTATCAAGATAGTATTTGTTTAAGTAATAACGACTCAGAATAAAATAGGAGTAACAACTTTCTACTTCTTACCTTTTTAAAAAAGGTAGTGAGTAGAAAATACTGATAATTGTGTAAAAATGTAATGAGTAAACGTAAAAAGTACGCTGAAAAATAATTACTCAAGTAAAGTACAGATAACCAAAATTTCTACTTATGTACAGTAACAAAATATTTGTACTTAGTTACTTTACAACTCTGGTTTTAACTCAAATGGTTTCTTTTGAAAATAAATTGAAAGAAAATCGGAACTGAGCATTATGATCGGCGGTGTGAACGTAGCCTTAACTTGCAATTCCAGGTTTTCAGAAGAACAAAACCTACTGATGTCTGCATTTACCCTCTTGGTGCAGCAGCGAATCCAAGCACACAAAAACCTTTAAAGTTTAGTTTCGCTTGGGTTTACAAGAAACGATTAGTCACCTTCGAGCACAGCAAAGTCATTCAAGCACCTAGTGTTCTTCTTTGATGGGGTTAATGTGCAAAAAAATACCCAAACACATTTGTGAGCACGTTCTTTTACCGAACCTTTCGAGCTCCTCGGTGATGACAGCCTGCCATACAGACTGGCCACTTTATTAAATAAGATTTCCTCTCCCCAGAGGCTCTCCTCTTGGGAGATTAAGCTGATAGAGTGTGGATAAAGACGGACGCTTGGGCCAGGCTGTGCCTTTCGAGAACCCTTTTTTATTACCTTGGTTCTTCTTTTTCTCTCCATACCACCAAGCACACAAAGTAAATCCACTACTTGCTGCAGAGGAGAAACTTATCTAAAGATCGTACAACCCTACAGCCAATCAGTCTGAAGTACATTTTGGAGAATTATTAAGTAAACGTTCTGTAAATTAACATGTAAAGCAGACGTATTCGTGAGGGAATTAACAGACGGTTGCCAAAGACGCTTTAAATCCGGAGCTTTCTATTAGATATTTAAAGCCCTTATCGTCATTTGAATAATTTTCATCATCTTGCAACAGAATTGCTGGGAGCTTTCAAATCATCCTCCTACATGATTAGAACACTGAAGTACACTTAAGTTTACGGGGCGTCTGATTAGACCAGCAGCTTTCCCCATTAGCATAATAAATGAATTAGGGCACCAGAGATAAAGATCATTAGACAAATTTTCTCCATGGGGAAATCATTTGGACAATGTATTGTCTAAGTATGTGAGACGAAAGTGATGTTACTCGCAGTCTGAGCATGTTTCACCCTCCAGCTTTCCCCAGTAAAGCCCCCATTCTTGATCACTTTCAGCTGCATCATATGGAGTTAAACCAGTGACAGCTTACATTGATAATGATAAAAAGAGATTTGACATTGAAAAATGAAACATTGAAAAAAGAAACACCAAAAAATGAAACACTGGAAAATCAAACATTGAAAAATCAATCATTGAAAAATCAAACATTGAAAAGATTTTGGCATTGTAACTCTAAAATGCCTAAATCTTTTCAATGTTTTCATTTTTCAATGTTTCTTTTTTCAGTGTTGTGTTTTTCAATGACAATGTTTTATTTTTCAATGTTTGATTTTTCAATATTTCCTTTTTCAATGTTTCATTTTTCAATGTCAAATCTCTTTTTCAATATCAGTGTAAGCTGTCACTGGTTTAACTCCATAGCATCAACCTTCATCCCATTAAGGYACTTTTTTTCCTTCTTGGGTTGGACACAAAAGAAGAGCCATGTATTTCACCACGGTTTTCATTCTGTGATTAGGCCGAAAAGTGAATGACGGCAATCCGCTGTGTCCGCRCACGGCAAACATTTCATGACAAGTTGTTATCGCGACAGTACATCTCTTCACCGGCACAGACTGGATTAGTACCGTATAACACTGTGTGGCCTTAGGACTGAGGATTTATCCCATTATCGCCTGCTGCCGACTTTCCCTCAGCTGCTTCGGCTCAAGTTATTTCTTAGCCTTCGCTATAAAAAGCACATGCGCTTCTGCTGTGCTGTTACTCATAACATGTTGCAGACACAAGCAGCAGGTTGTAGCTGATTTTAATAAGTGAACAAGACATGATTGGAGAGATTTTTTGGCTTCTGCAAAGTACTTTGAATATGCATTCAAGCATAATCTGTACCTGTTAGTAGCACTGCGATAATGGCCTGGAGGGCTGAAGGACCAGAAGATGTGCACATATAGTAAACCTTGGGAACAAGGATGAAGAACTGATATGACAGGTGGATTTATTGGATATTACTCTGTGTTTTCATGTGGGAGATCAAAGTTCGAAACGTAATATATAACTACTTTTTGTTTTTAAAGGGATCCCCGATTATATGTAACATTTGACTTTATATGATAAACATGTACTCTTCTAATCTCTTTTTCCACTCTTTCTCAATGCATTTCACTTTTTTCTTTTTTCTTCTTTTTCTCCTATTATTATAAAAAAAATAAAAATAAAATAAAAAAACATAATAATGGTGTGGAGAGGATGGCTATAGGGGGACAAGGGAGGCCATCAAAAAAAAAAAGATAAACATGTACTTTAACTGTAAAATAAAGACTGTAAAAATATTGTAGGATGTTCAGTTTTGATCATTTTTAAACTAAAAGTTTAAAAATATATTACATGGACGGGGCCATTTTATTTACACGCAAAGCATTTTGGGTAAATGATGACATCAACTAGGTCATTGGCATGAGGCTGCTAGCGAGCTATATCCACCCTGAAGGTTAATCTTGGACAATATCTGATGATCGACTCTTTTAAATGAAACCAGAGAGCGTTGACAGAGAGGAGAAGGTAGAAATGACTCAGTCTGTAACTGAAAATATAGATGGAGRACAACAGAGCTGCTTCATGGAAGAAGAACCTCAGCTTAGCCTGTTAGCTTTAGCGTTAGCCCCGATGCTATCACCATATATATGTATTAGCTCAGTGCTACAATTTCTCCTCTCATCACTGAGGTCCTCCATCCACATGACAGAGAGGGGAACGCAAAAATGACTCAGTTTGCAACTGAAAATATGGATGGAGGACCTCAGTTTAGCTTGTTTGTTGCGCTAGCACCGAGCTAATACATATAAGGCAATATAGCGCGAAGGCTAACAGGCTAAGCTGAGGTTCTTCTTGCATGAAGCAGCTCTGTTGTCCTCCATCCATATTTTCAGTTACAGGCTGAGTCATTTCTACCTTCTGCTCTCTGTCAACGCTCTCTGGTTTCATTTAAAAGAGCCAATCGTCAGATATTGTCCAAGATTAACCTTCAGGGTGGATATAGCTCGCTAGCAGCCTCGCCCCAATGACCTAGTTGATGTCATCATTTACCCAGAATGCTTTGCTTGTAAATAAAATGGCTCCGTCCATGTTAACATTTAATAAAATAATTACAAACTAAACAACCTACAGTATTTTTACAGTCTTTATTTTACAGTTAAAATAAATATTTATCAAATAAAGTTTAATGTTACAACTAATCGTGGATCCCTTTAACAAAAACTTAGCAGAATGCAGATACAAAGCCAATACATGTCAAATTTATATTGCTTATCTGTAGTCAGGTGGAGGCAACAGGTCCAGAGGAGAAACACATCCATCTCCCCAATGACACTTCCTGCTTGTCCTGGGTCTTCCACAGAGCCTCCAACCAGTTAGACATGCCCAGCACATCTAAAGGGAAGTGTCCAGTAATCCTAATCAGATCACCTCAATTAACTCCTTTCGATGTGGAGGAGCTGCGGCTCTACTCCAAGCCCCCCAATAACAGAGCTCCACATCTCATCTTTAAGGCTAAGCCTGGTCAGCCTACAAGGAATCTAATTTTAGCTGCTTGGATCCAGGATCTCGTTCTTTCAGTCGTAATGATTGACTGAAGCAACGCCCTCATTACTGAGTACGAGTCCCCAATCCGTCAATTCCGCCATCACTCGTGAACAAGATAGCAGATACTCCTCCACTTGATGCAGAGACCCCCGCCCCTCCCGACCCAAAGAGGACATTCCACCCTTTTCCGGTTAAGAACCATGACATCAGACTTAGAGGAACTGACTCGCATCGAGGCTRCTTCACACTCTGCTGTGAACCGCCCCAGAGAACACTGAAGGCCTTGACCCAAAGACACAAACAGAACCACATCATTCACATGAAACACAGACAAGACCCTGTTGTTCCCAAACCAGACCCCTTCTGACAGTTAACCTGTTTTGGTCAAACTTTGCCAGATTGAACCGCTCGATTTAAGTTTGGACTACAATACTTGGTTGAGTTCAGGAAAATGCTTGTTTTTAGGTCAAAACCGAATGAGTTTTTAATTGAACGACCACAGGAGGTGACAGAAGGGCCCTGAAGCATTCTTCATTAGGCAGTATACATTACATTTTGTCAATAGGCAGACACTTTTATCCCAAGCAACTTACAAGTGATTAAATTACGCAATCAGTCGGCAAACTGGGGCAATGAGTGTGGTTCGGCGTTAGAAGACATTGCAACATGTTGCACAGCTAATGCAGTGCTTTGTTCACTGAAAAAGTGGTTTTCAGATGGCCCTGAATCAAAATTGAAGATGAACCAAATTTGTTTAAAATCCCCCGAAAAAAGCATAAAACTATTTTCAAAAATCTTGGAACATCCTAGATTTCAAAATGATTTAAAATACAAATACCAGTTATACATACTGAAACTTAGCCACAACCATGCCTACTCTATCCCCATTTTTTGTGTTTATGGTATCCTACCAACTATCTGCTCGCTGTTTAATATTCAACAGATAGATAAAAGTGTCTTATCCAACCTTTTCATCTAAATCTCGTCTAAAACCGATAAGAGGTAGCACTTTCATCCTCATGTCCATTTTTCATTCTGCTTTATCTCTGTTCTTTTTTTTTCCTTTTTCCCCACAGTGGCCATGGCTATTAACCATGCGGCTGGAGCCAGATATGCCCATTGCCTCCTTCTGTCAAAAAGAAGTCTCTTTGGTGCTACACTTAGTGCGCGCTCCCTGAATATGCCGGCGAAGCACAAGAAAGCCCAGCGGACTGCTTAATGCTCTTTGTAAGTACAGTCACTCAGCAGGATCAGTGTTTACTCATGACACCCGGATCAAGTCAAACCCTATGAGAGAAACTTGTCTCTGATTTGTAAATAAATCATTATAAAAAGGCATCAGAATCACTTCTTGTACACAGCCATTGCAAACATTGTATGTATTTTATAGCTTTTTTAAAAGTCCTTTTGATAAAAAGCCTTTCTTATTTTGGGTCAAAACTTAGAATTTTCAATATATCGTTACAAACACTTGACATTCTCAACATATCCCTCCTTTAAAGCGGAATCAATTCCAGTGTCACGTGTTCCGCTAAGTACTCTAAATTTATGCATGAATTATGTAAAAGTAATGCATTTATACGAGGTAACCTGCTAAATGTGGTTCAGACTGTCGCGTACCGTTTAATTTTTTTTATACCTGCACTTTTATGCACTGAAGCTCTTAGATGGTTTCCTGGGCCCATTATTAAAGCTGGTGTGTGACTTTTTTTTCCCTCCCAACACTTGAAAGCTGTAACAAGAGCTCRCCCTGCATCAGTAGATGGAAATGAGCTCTTCACCACGAGATGAAAARGAAAGTTGGAAATCCAGACATATTGTATGCGTTGAGTTCGTCAGATGAAGACTTTGATTTGAAATGCTCCTTGTAGTTTGGAACACTTTTTAGGGAGGTTTTATCAATTACTAGTTATCTTTTTGAGTGAGTTAAGGAGAAATTAGGCCTGTTAATGGGTTTGTTTTAAAGCKTTGAGCACCAGGCCAAGAAGTGGTCATCAGCATGGGCGTAATTAGCTGGGGGGGTCAGGGTGGTTATGACCCCCACAATAACTTGATCCAGTCAATATAATCCCCCCACCTATAAARTGTCATATATGTATGTTTAAGCATAACTGCTGATAATTACATGTATGGCTTTAGTCTGATCTTGTCGCATTATGGCACTTATTGAATCATGTGCTGTGATTAAATTCAAGTGCACCAGGTACAGTGGGTAAAATAAGTATTGAACACGTCAACATTTTTCTCAGTAAAAACTGTATATTT